TGAATTTAATTAAATCAAATTAAATATCAAACATATTTAAATTTGATTAAATCAAATCAAATATCAAGCATATTTAAATTTGATTAAATTAAATCAACTTTAATTTAAATTTAATTTAATCAAATCAAATCAATCTTGATTTGAATTTGATTTGATTAAATCAAATCAAATTAAATTATATTTAAAAATTTTTTAAATTTTTAAAATTTTATTACTTTTTAAAATTTTTAATTTATACAAAATTTTATTAAGCTAATTAATTTTGTATATTAAATAAAAAATATTCTTCTAATCAAAATATTTCTAGTCAATATTACTAGTTTATTTATCAAAAAACTTTTTTTAGTGCAGTTTTGTGCAAAACTACAAAAAATAAATAATAAATTAAATAAAAATTTGTGCAAAATTTCAAACCTGACAGCTATAGCCACAAAAAGTTAAGCACAATTTTATATAAACTTCAAATTATAAAAATTTTGCAAATTTTTTTAGTGCAAATCTGCAAAAATCTGCATTTTGACAGATTTTTGCAGATTTGCACTAAAAAAATTTTTCTGATGTTAGACAACTTTGTTTGATAATCTTTTAGTCAACAATAACAAAAAACTAAACTACAGAAAAATGCTATAAAAAATATAAAACAAATATTATTTCTAGTTTTATATTAAATAGATTATTGTTAACAAAATCTAAAAGATATAAAATACTAAAGAGCAGATATAACATGATTAGTTTTTTTAGAATAAAATAACTCTTACTGAGATAGTAAAAGTTTAAATACTATCTATATAACTATAAAGCTTATAGAAGAACCTTATATACTCTTATTAATCTTCTACTTTTTTTCAGAAAAAAAATTATAAAAAGTAGATATCTTGGTTTACTTTCTTTAAAAAATTGATATATGATTTATTAAATTAATTTGTATTGTTTATATTTATTCTGTTACAATAAATATATGAAGACTAGCATAGATCAAATAAAGCTATACTGGATATCTATCAGTATGCTAATATATTTTCTAAAAGTTATTGATATATATATAACAATTATCTGCTAAATTAATTTGAAATATTACCGATAAGTAACTAATTTTAAACAGATTTTTGGTGCAAATTCAAGACTTTTCAGTAATTATTAGATACTTTTATTATAATATTCATAGTTCTATCAGGGTTTCAATAATATTCTTAGATAAATCTGATAGATATCTTGTAGTTCTATTAAATATAAGGATACCAAATACTTATCAGTTTTTTTAGAAACTTATCAATATATCCAATAGAGCTATTTACTAATTTATGTATTTATCAATTTATAATTTGATAATTTTTTTTTTTTTTTTTTATATAGGCAGTGTCATTTATCACTTGATTTTTTTTTATCAGAGGCTTACCTCTTTTACTATATATTTTGATTAGGTCTTTATATATAATTTTAAATTTTTTACCCTCTCCACCCCTAAAAAATTACCTGATTTTTGTTATGTCCCTATTTAGTGATTCTGCCTATTACTCTTTATTGAAAAGTACCAGAACTTATATCAATAGAAAGATATAATTTTCTATACTATATTCCACTTGAGTAAAGATCAACTCGAGTTAAACTTAAAAAATGATCCATCTAGCAGCAATTAGCTTCATGTGGATCCTCAACTTACTGAGGATATGAACCCTTTGATCCATAGCTCTAGCAGCTACATGTTTTATCAAAAGAGCCAAATTAACAAAAGCACAAATACAAAAAAAAAAACAAAACAAAAGTAAAAAGAAATATGATAAAAGATACAAACAAGAAAGAAAAAGAGATAAGGAGATATCGAAAAAAGAAAAAAAGAAATTTGTCTATTCTAATGATTTTTATTATGAGCCTGTAAAAGGCTTATAAAAATTACATACTACTAAATAAAATAGTCTCTACTCTAAATTTATCTATATAGTATATAAAAACTCAAAAACTAGTAGAAAAATACTTTTTCGACCATAAACTGTAGGGGTTGGTACTCAATCCAAGTCATAGAATATTGCTTAATCAGATTATTGCATTTGAGGTACGTGCTTTGATATGTTTGTTGTCCTGTTGTACCAATTTGGGAAGTAAACAATGCCGACTGTTTTGGTGTATATGATATCGATCTTTTGGAGAGGATAAGCTAAAATGTCTACTTTTTACAAAAATTTCCTCAAAAAAAAGTGGTAGACCAACAAAAGTATATGAGGTTCTTCTTGTAAGAATTATAGTAGTATAGTCTAGTTCTTCTGTTTCTACTTGATATTCTTGCACAGGGACCCAACAGGGACGTTGCTTCCAAAATATCCTTTTGGTTTAGATATCAAAGGTATGGGGGAGTCCACTTCTTTTTTTTTGCTGTTTCTAGAGACTCCTCTGGTTTGAATGCCAAATACACAAAGGAGTCTATCATACTAGAAGAAAAGGTTTGACCTTTGTACAAACCGTCCACAACGCCCACACCTTAGTATATCATGTTTAAAAACTTTGTCAATAACAGTTTGTAAAAAAGAAGCTAGACTGTAATAACAGACCCACTTTTGTTATATGCTTGCTCTTCAGTATTTCACATATATAAGTTTAGTCAATAGCAAGTAGTATAAGTATGTAACAAGAGTATTGTAGTATTTACTTTGTTACTTTTCTATAACTTTTTACTGTAGTTCGATTTTTTTGTTATTGACCAAGAGATTATCAGAAAGAGTTGTTAAGAATTATGAATTCAATAACTTTTATTTACAATAGAAAAGTATAACTTATATATAATATATTATTAAAAGCAATATCTCAATTGTAATTCATATATGCTTATATTATATAATTGCTAATACTAATACAAATAATATATTTTTTTTTACAAAAAATATGCTATATCAACTATATATAGTATGATATCTAAAACTATAAAATAAAAAAAATAATATATTGTTGTTTTGGTAAAATTTCTATTTACTAGAAATATCATTTGCATTGTCAGAATTGTCATGTTCTTCATTATTATTGTTGGTTTTGTTCTAAGATTTATTGTAATTTTTATTAGTATCATCTTTAGTGCTTTTTCTGATACTTCTTGCATCTCTATTATTGTTAATACTACTACTACTACTTGAAACTACTTCTTCTTCATCATCATCGTCTTCTTCTAGAATATAAAAAGCAGAAATGGTCTATTTAGATATATCATTTGAAGGTTTTGATTTATTAACCCATTTGTTGTCATTGTACTATCGCTTTCTTGACAATTTAATGTGAGATATTTTTTCTTCTATTTTATCAGCCAACCGCAAAATTTTTTTAATCTATAGTTAAATAGAATGAAAAATAAATAAATAAATTTAAAACAAAAATAATAAAAGACTTATTTATTTTATGAGTTCTCTAGGGCTTATCGTAAATATAGAGTATATAGTTATTAATCTTTTTATTTGAATGTATTTTTGGTTATTTTTCTGCTTTCATAAATTCAACATCTGTTTCCAAAATTTCATCAGAATGGTAGCTTCTATCATTAATAATATCTTCAAGATCTTCTTTAAAATCATCAAAATTCATTGATAGTACGAGGTCTCTAAGATTTTTATCTTTGGTATTGATTATATAATCAATATCATGAATTTACCTTTTTTTTTTCTACAAATCATAAATTTAAAACAAAAAAAAAACTATTCATTTATTAAAACACAAAAAAAAAAATCCTGTTCATTTATAATAAATATTGGCAACCCAGTAGTTTTATAAAAATGATTTACACTTATATTAGAACATAGAACATTTATTTTCTTTCTTTTTTTATTAACTTTCAATTTATCCTCATCTTGATCTATAAACTATTTCTCATATTGATAGTAGTGAAGGCTTTGGAGAATGTATTTAAATTCACTAATTTTATATATAAAATGATTCTTCAAAGCCTTACCAATTGCTAGCATGGTTTATTTGAATATTTTTTGTCACGAATGATCGTGAAATCAGATAATGCTGAAATTCACGTGACCCGTGACCATGCATCATATCTAACAGTTTCCGGATATCATGTAATATGATTATCTAGAAAAAAAAAACAATCGCCCATTCCACCCACTCAAGAAAAGCGATACCACCCACCCGCCCAAGAAATGCCCCACCACTACCCAAGAAAAGCCCACCACCCACCCACCCAAGAACACACACCACCTACCCAAGAAAACACACACCACCCACCCAAGAAAACATACGCCACCCACCCAAGAAGCAATAGACGCCCACACACAAAAAAAAAAAAAAACTTGGGGGTTTTTTTTTTTTTTTTAACATGCCGGCA